TGCAGATGTTCTGTGACACTCCCCCCCCCACACACACACACAGCGTGTCTGCCTGACTGGCCTCCTGTGTGACGCTCCTCTCTGCGTGCTGCCCCTGCTGAGTCTGCGGGTGGGAACCGGAAGACACAGCACACCCACATCTCCTTCCCGGGTTGATGCCGACCACATGCCGACCCAGCCCCCGCGCTCCCTGTACAGCCAGCACCTCCCTGTGCCCGGGTTTGTGCGCACGTCACCTCCCTGTCTCGACGTCACTGTCCCAGCAGAGTCTCTCCATCATCAGCCAGGAGGAAAGACGCCATGTCCTGTACCTGGCCGCAGGCCTCCGCGTTTGATGGGCTCCCACTCCGACCACGCCCACTCACCCACCCGCCTGTGGCCCTCTTGGGCTGAGCCCACTTCTCGCCTTACGGAGGTGTGTCAGGCTTTGCTCCAGCCTGACTTTGGCTTCAGTCCCCAGGCTGACTTCCGGGAGACAAAGCTGCCGTTAATCCACAGTCCGCCAGAGCTGGCCCGCCCTAAGCCCAGGTAAAGCGTCTGGGCTAGACAGTCTCATGTTCTCACTGCAGAGCTAGCTCCTAGCTCTGAGCCCTGGCTGCACATGAAAGGCCACTTACAGCTCCCTGATTCTCCCCTTGCGTTTATTCCTCAGTGGGCCTCTGGAGCTCCAAGAGACCACCCTAAGAACCTCCTGTGTGAGTCGCCCAAGGGTGCTGTGATAAGTTCCCAGAAGCCCAGAGATTCGTGTTTTTCACAGTGTGTTTATTACCGTATAGTTCCGTAGTCACAGGTGTGACTGTCCCACGGGCTCACATCAAGGTGACGCAGGGCTGCTTCCTTCTGGGAGCTTCAGGCCAGAATCTGGGCTTTGCCTTGTCCAGCGGCTACAGGCACCCACAGCCTCATGCAGCCCTCAAAGCGCCCTCGGGTTACAGTGGCCCCAGCGGGTAACCGCTCTGTTTTAAGATTAGCAACCTTACTTGCCTGGAGCGTGACATAGTCACAGGTTCTGGGGACCAGGACATGGACATCTTTTTGGGCCATTTAGTCTGCCTACCCCACTTCCATGTTTGTTGCCAGCCTTGCGAGTCCATTACTGCATGAGTCCAGATGAAACGCTAGTTCTGAGAACATTCCTGAGCCCTGGCTGAGCTGCAAGCCTGGATCTCTGGAGAAGACCCTCCTCCTCTGGCATTGCCCCTAGGGTGGGCTGTGGCGCTGTCAGCCCCCTCTCTGACTGAATTCCCCCTCCCCACACCCCGGCCTGGCTTGTGCCTGGAGGGTGACAGTGGGGCCGTGGCAGTACCACCCTCTTGGTGTTGCTTGTCATCGTGTGGCCCCACCATGGGCCCCTTGTGTGCAGCAGACGGACACACTGCCTGCTCCCAGACAGTCTTCAGGATCGATGGTGTTTGAGTCCAGCGTTGTGTATGACAGAC